ACTTTGCAATAAAAGCCATTAATTTTTAAAAACAATTTTTTGTAGAGACAGGGTCTTGCTGTGTTGCTCAGGCTGGTCTCAAACTCCTGACCTCATATGATCTTCTAGATTTTCAAAAATAACAAATTTTGGTCATGACCCACTATATATATTTGAGTAGTTGTCTATATATGAGGGTAATTAATTTTTAAAAACAATTTAATGTACAGCAAATGCGATATTACAAAGTAGAATGAAAAATTCACACAACGTTAAAATATAAAGCCAGAGATTTTCAAAGAAATTCTGAGGCTTTTTTAACTCATGGTCCACATCTCCCTCAAGGGTCATGTTCCCCCCTTGCTGTTCCTACTAAAACACTTAGTAGGAACATTTGAGAAGCACTGATACAGAGCAATTCTTATCAAGGGTGGCCCTTGGACTTGTATCATCAGTGTTTCTTGCAAACCTGTTAAAAATGCAAATTTTCAGGCTTCACCCCAGATCTGAATGTGACTTTCTAGAGGTAAGGTCCAGGAATCAGTATCTTAACAAGCTCTCAGATGATTCTTATGTCTGCCCAAGTTTGAGATGAAATGAGTAGAGAAATGAGTGATTAGAAAGACCTTGACCATCATCCCCAAATATAATTTCTTCCATCTTCATGTCTGAAAGTAGGTGAGGAACAAGGTAGAAGAGAACCTTCGACTCCTACTGCCAAGATTTCCTCATCCACACAATACCTAATTTGCATCAATTAAATTTCAGGGAGGCCATCTTCTGCATCCAGTACAACATCCGCTCTTTCATGAATGTCAAGCACTGGCCCTGGATGAAACTGTTCTTCAAGATCAAGCCTCTGCTGAAGAGTGCAGAAACTGAAAAGGAGATGGCCACCATGAAGGAAGAATTTGAGAAAACTAAAGAGGAACTTGCCAAGTCAGAGGCAAAAAGGAAGGAACTGGAAGAAAAGATGGTGTCACTGTTGAAAGAAAAAAATGACTTGCAGCTCCAGGTTCAGTCTGTAAGTTGGGGTATCATTCTGAGTATCACTAATCAGCATGCAAGTGCTAGAACTCTGGCCACTACCCATCAGCATTGGAGACACTCATTGGAAGGAGAAGGTTGAAGCACTCCAATGGTACTAATGAAGGTTCATACATTCCATCATTGTCCAATAAGCCCCTCCCCCAAACCAACACAAGGGCAATGAAGAACTTTCATCTTCCATTCTACATAATTTCATCAAACTAAAGATTTATGACTTATTTTCCCTTTAAAATACAATCCTTAAAAGTTATTTTAACATGAAATAATCCCAGATAAAATATTAAGGGTAGGATATCACATAGAGAGTAATTTTTCTAAAACTTCCTCGAACTTCTTCTAGATGTCCACGGGTCTTAGACAACTGACAATTCCAGTATTCTACATCAAATTTTACTGAATTATTTTTTTTGTTATTAATCTCAAAAACTTAGATTCACTCTTTCCAATCCATTTCCACAGTCAGTGCTCCATCACACCACACCCAGATTGCTGCGTCAGCACCTAAGTTGCTCTTCCTACCCTCAATTCTCTCTTCTTCTCTCAGCCTGCTCACTCCTGAACTAATCATTTTAAAACTGCTTCCATCAACTCAGATATATAATTTATAAGACTGTGTTTCATTTGGGCTGAATTGAAGTGCTCTGATATAATTTATTCATCACAAAATCATATGTTCTTTTCTCTTAAGACTGGTCTCTGCAATCAACTTTGGGCAGTGGAATAACTCTTTCTTCTAGATTACAGACGGAAAAAAGAGCCCTTTTCTACCCTACCCCCTTGAAATCTATCCTGGATTCTCTTCTGTTGTCCCCAGTGATTTACTCAGCATCTCTGGGGACAACAAAATATTGTGAATACCATAATATTCACTACATGGTTACAAGCAGCACACTTTATTTTTTATGTATTCAAAGGCTGATATGAAGGATCATTGACAAATATATTCCAGTGTCTCTCTCATTTCCTGCCTGCCCTGACCCCCTTGATTTGAAATAGCAGGTGGCTAGGAATTTCTTCATTACTTTATGCCTCAACTTGAATTTAGACCATCATAACCAGGGTTATCTTCTAGTACTACAAAGAAAAACATTTCAGCAGCAGCTGTATCTTGTATTTGTCCTGTTGGACTTCTTCCTCACCCCCTCCTGCTCTTCTTCCCACTAGGTTGATTTCTGCAAAACCAAATCCTACCCATCTCTTAAGCCCCAACTAAATATCACTTCTTTCATGAAACCATGAAAGAACTGATCCAACTTCTCTGATCTCTTGTGTCACTAATTGCTTTCTACATTAACCGTAGTTTTTGGGAGATAGGTTTTCTAATCTACTGTAGAATATACTCTTCTAAAGGACCAGAACAACAACTGATACATTTTATTTTCCCACATGTGGAAAATGTATGGCACACAGCAAATGGTTCATGAAACAAAACTTTTTGAAAACAAATAAATGAACATAGGAAACCCAAAGGACCAAATGCAGAAATCTATACTCTTATCATTGTAAAAATATTTCATTCTTTCTTTCCAATTTTGATTTCGTTTCCAACTCAAGGAAGCCGAAGGCTTGGCTGATGCAGAGGAAAGGTGTGACCAGCTCATCAAAACAAAAATCCAACTTGAGGCCAAGATCAAGGAGGTGACTGAGAGAGCTGAGGATGAGGAAGAGATCAATGCTGAGCTGACAGCCAAGAAGAGGAAACTAGAGGATGAATGTTCAGAACTCAAGAAAGACATTGATGACCTTGAGCTGACACTGGCCAAGGTTGAGAAGGAGAAACATGCCACAGAGAACAAGGTATGAATCACATTCTACAATACTGTATAGAGGTTTTGCCATGCCACTAAACTGCTGTACAGCAACTAAGCTGCCTATTAACCTTTGTAGGTGAAAAACCTCACAGAAGAGATGGCAGGCCTGGATGAAACCATCGCAAAGCTGACCAAGGAGAAGAAGGCCCTCCAAGAGGCCCACCAGCAGACCCTGGATGACCTGCAAGCAGAAGAGGACAAAGTTAACACCCTGACCAAAGCTAAAATCAAACTTGAACAACAAGTGGATGATGTAAGTTTAGTATTATCAAGGAAATTCTTTTCTTCTAAAGGAAGCTAAGCATTCCTTCCGACTCAACATTATTTGTATTTAGCTTGAAGGGTCCTTGGAGCAAGAAAAGAAACTTCGCATGGACCTAGAAAGGGCTAAGAGGAAACTTGAGGGTGACTTAAAGTTGGCCCAAGAGTCCATAATGGACATCGAAAATGAGAAACAGCAACTTGACGAAAAGCTCAAAAAGTAAGTATGAAAAATTGCTTATTAATTTGCTTCCAATGTTAGATATAGACTAAATTGTCATCCTTTGCTACTTTTATAAAAGGAAAGAGTTTGAAATGAGCAATCTGCAAAGCAAGATTGAAGATGAACAGGCACTTGCTATTCAATTGCAGAAGAAGATCAAAGAACTGCAAGTAAGTACATGATTTTCATCAGTCTGGCTCAAAGAGGCACAGCTATGACATAAAGAAGCTGAGTTTATAGTTTTGACCATTTCCAGGCCCGCATTGAGGAGCTGGAGGAGGAAATTGAGGCAGAGCGGGCTTCCCGGGCCAAAGCAGAGAAGCAGCGCTCTGACCTCTCCCGGGAGCTGGAGGAGATCAGTGAGCGGCTGGAAGAAGCTGGTGGGGCCACTTCGGCCCAGATTGAGATGAACAAGAAGCGAGAGGCTGAGTTCCAGAAAATGCGCCGGGACCTGGAAGAGGCCACCTTGCAGCATGAAGCCACGGCGGCCACCCTGAGGAAGAAGCACGCAGATAGTGTGGCTGAGCTCGGGGAGCAGATTGACAACCTGCAGCGGGTCAAACAGAAGCTGGAGAAGGAGAAGAGTGAGATGAAGATGGAGATTGATGACCTTGCTAGTAATGTAGAAACAGTCTCCAAAGCCAAGGTACCACAAATTCTGAGGAATTGTTATTAATTACAATAATCTGTGATGGACATATCATAGTTTACACAAGGCATTTTATGCACATTAAGTCATTTGTTATTTGCAGTAATCCAGGGAGGTAAGCAGGAAAAATGTTAGCAGTTTTATTATTTCCATTTAATATATGAAGAAACAAAAATTCAAGAGGCTAAACTAAGTACATCAACTCCATCACACCATTAATATAAGACAGACAGTATTGGCTTTTGAACATAGGACATCCGTGTTCTCCAGATCTCTGATTAGAGAACACAGGCCTCTAATATTTTCAATTATCCTATAAGGAATGTTTCATTATACATAAAGGTAATGAGGTATTTTTGAACATGTGCTTAGAAAATATACAATATTAAATTCTTACAAAACCTTAAAATTAGAAAGTAATCTTTACATTTTTATATTAAAATTGAACAGAGCTTCATGATTAGCTTTCATAAAATGTAAAGAAAAAATTCTTATATATTTATTACATTACATATTAGAGAATTTGACTTATTTTATATATCAAAATAAATATTGTACTTTTGGGGAGAAATTATAGCAACTGCAAAGATTATTATCATTATTAGCTTAAAAGGTCTTTGTTTCCTTCTTTTACTTTTTCTCATGTAGGGAAACCTAGAGAAAATGTGTCGGACTCTAGAGGACCAACTGAGTGAACTTAAATCCAAGGAAGAAGAGCAGCAGCGACAGATCAATGACCTAACAACCCAGAGGGGACGCCTGCAGACCGAGTCTGGTAATTCTCCCCTCTTCCACAGAGCCTCAAGTGCAGACTATGTGGCTAAGAACAAATGATTTGGTGATGTAGGAGCCTAATAAAAGCAACTGAGAACATGTGTGATTCACTGAGGAGCTTAGACTCTCAACCTACATGCAAGGTCATCTGGGGACAGTACTGGAGATAAAGATTTCAATACGACTGGACCAAGCTCTGTTCCAGAAGGACCTTGAATATTTGTTGACAGAGGGGATTCTGGGATTAGGGGTCACTACAGCATGAGCTCAGGGCTTCTATTTCAGGCCAAGTTTCTTTTTATTTATATCATCACAAACTAAATTCCTGAATGGGAAAATGGGCAGCCCAGTCTCCCAAAAGTCCTGTGGAATTGGAACTATATAGAACTGAACATTTTAGCTCTGTTTTTTGACAGTCATTACCAGGTTTTGCACAGTATCATATAACCTTGAAAGAATTTTTTATGGAAAGGACAACAAGAATTTAAACTGTATTTATTCATTCAAATTGATATATAAGTTTCACCATAAAAATCAGAAATTTGGCATTGAGTATGAAGATGGCAATGGAGAATTCATTTGAGCACTCAATTTAGAAGCATACTAGCTACAGTTTATTTCTAACATGGGCTTGCAGAATTTTTTTTTCACTTTAAAAAACAGTGCCATTTCTTTTGTCTGTCAGGTGAATTTTCACGCCAGCTTGATGAAAAAGAAGCTCTGGTATCTCAGTTATCAAGGGGCAAACTAGCATTTACTCAACAGATTGAGGAATTAAAGAGGCAACTTGAAGAGGAGATAAAGGTAACTATTATTCTAAGTCTGATTTCTTTTTCCATGAGCTGATCCTAAATGGACCTTGTGATACTAACTTTCATAGGGTTTTGAATATTTAAATATCCAGTAAAATGAAGGTGTAACTATCTCCGTAGGCCAAGAACGCCCTGGCGCACGCCCTGCAGTCCTCCCGCCACGACTGTGACCTGCTGCGGGAACAGTATGAGGAGGAGCAGGAATCCAAGGCTGAGCTGCAGAGGGCGCTGTCCAAGGCCAACAGTGAGGTTGCGCAGTGGAGGACCAAATACGAGACGGACGCCATCCAGCGCACCGAGGAGCTGGAGGAGGCCAAGTATGTTCACTGATATGACAGAATGTGCAGAAAACTTTGCACACCAAATGGGAAAGATACAACCTTTGAAGATTCAGTGAATTAGTCCACATTCATTAATTGGGTTCTATTAGCCAGTCACCATCAGGCCCTGAGAATAAGATATGAATAAAGAAAACATGGTCCCTCTCCTACTATCCTATAATCAAGTTAAGAAAACAAAGAAGAACGAATAGTTGTACAGATAATTAGAGACCTTATTGCTGTTTGTCAAGCACATCACACTCAACACTGCTTCAGGGGTTTGCGTTTACTGTTCCCTCTTTCTAGAACACTCTCCCTGCAGAGCTCCCTCTGAATCACTCTCTGACTTCTTTTAGATGTTGACTCAAATGTTACCTCTTCACAGAGGCCTTCACTGAATACCTAGAGTAGTTGCCCACCATTTGCCCTATTTTATTTTTCTTCATTGCACTTACAGCTGCAAGGTGTTATTATGCATTCTCTGACTTGCTTATTGTTTGTCTCTCTCACTTGTTTGTAAACTTCATGAGGCAGGGACCTTTTTTGTCTTGTTCACTGCTGTGTATCCAGCATTTGGTTCATAAAAGGAGCTCATAGATATTTGTTGAATATTTTTGAATGAATGGATGGATCGATGGATAGCATTAATATGAAGTTTCTGATACTCTTCAGTGTGGTAATAGTTCATAATTCTTACTACAGTTCACTTCTCTCTAAAAACATATATAATCTTCAAGGAAGAAGCTGGCCCAGCGGCTGCAGGCTGCTGAGGAACTCGTAGAAGCTGTAAATGCCAAATGTGCTTCCCTTGAGAAGACGAAGCAGCGGCTGCAGAATGAGGTCGAGGACCTCATGCTCGATGTGGAGAGAACAAATGCTGCCTGTGCAGCTCTGGACAAAAAGCAAAGGAACTTTGATAAGGTAATTCCTGTGGCATCCTCTGCTCTACATTATTTTCTTGTCTTTGCAGCAGGTAACCGCTCTTGGTTTTTCAGGTCCTGGCAGAATGGAAACAGAAATATGAGGAAACACATGCTGAGCTTGAGGCTTCCCAGAAGGAGTCCCGCTCCCTTGGCACTGAGCTGTTCAAGATGAAGAACGCCTATGAGGAATCCCTGGATCAGCTAGAAACCCTGAAGAGAGAGAACAAAAACTTACAGCGTAAGCCCCTTTCACTTTCAATAATATTCATGACTTGGAGGAATCTTTCTCCTACGTCATCTGTTTGACCAAATCCCTCCCTGTCTTTTACTCAAACAATAGAGGAGATTTCTGACCTTACGGAGCAGATTGCAGAAGGAGGAAAACGTATCCATGAACTGGAGAAAATAAAGAAACAAGTGGAACAAGAAAAGTCTGAACTTCAGGCTGCCTTAGAAGAAGCAGAGGTACTGGTCAAATTGTGTATTATAAACAAAAAAAAATTCAGAAAAGGATTAAGTCCATCTGTATAGGTTGAATAAAAAGTTACATAGCACAAAATTATTGGTGTGCATAAAACCTTCAGAATGCTTTCATTTCCCTGCTAATGTCACCTCCTGCTGTCATTAAGGCATCTCTCGAACACGAAGAGGGCAAGATCCTGCGCATCCAGCTTGAGTTGAACCAAGTCAAGTCGGAAATCGACAGGAAAATTGCTGAAAAGGATGAGGAAATTGACCAGCTGAAGAGAAACCACATTAGAGT